CTGGTTAGCTGCATGTCTTCCTCACATGCCATTGGAATGCAAAGAAGCGGGGGATTGTCTGAGTCCGGCGTGGTTGCTACACTAAATTTTGAAGAGCACTACATTAGCATGTAAATATTAGCATTAGGTTGACACAACTTTATGGCACTAATTCTAGTGTCCATGGTCTTGAAGTTTGTTATATAATTGAATTCAGACCCTGAACGATTAAAATCAGTTAGAATAAAATTTTTCTGTGCTAATTATTTGACGCTAATTCAAATAACAGCGGTTTTATTTCACATCGAATCTCTGGTCCTTTCTGGTAGACTCCTGAAACTCAAAAGTCCATTGTATTTCTTTTTGGAAATCTATACATCTGTTTACATAAATCACATAATTTTTAGGTGTCCTAAAATAGTTGAACACCGTAAAACACGAAGAAATATGAAGATGTCTAGTCAGAATCTTTTAGCGAATCAACCCACAACCCAGGAAATTACGGTTTGTCCATCCGACTGCAAATGTATCTCTGGTATTTTTGCTTGGTCCTTCCAACCTGACTACAATGTGTTGATCTCATGCTGGGTTCCAGAGGTTAATGGTCTGGCTGGCTTCCTTTGTAGCTAAATTTAGCATTTGACAACCCATTAAACCATATGTAAGATAAAATTCTCAATTCTTATTTAACTTACATTTGAAAAAGGTTAACAAAGACATGTAAAAAATCGATTCAAGTTTACTTGAATGCCCATTAAATGGTGGTTGGATAAATTTCAAAGTTAACTTCTTGACTTTTGGTCCATTTTAACATTTATGTAGGGGAATTATAATTTGGATTAATCTAGGATTCCACTGCCTTCAAATTCCCTCCTCCAAGAGACCAATTTGTAGCACCTAAGCATTTTACTGTTTAATCTACAAGGTGTCCTTGGAACACTAAGTTTGCACAACTGTTATAAGACTCCGTATAGTGCGTAAATTCGTAGGAGTTGATCCCTGCATTCTAACTTTAAGGAGTAGAAAGTAAAGTGCGAGTGGCGTCTGGGTGTTAAAGTGTATTCCCCTACATGGAGCTGAACGCCTAAAATAATTCTTATCGATTTTATTGTGTGCATGAAAATTAACACATGAAAAGAAACAGAAGAAAGGCCAGTATGAAAAAAATTGTAACCTCTTCTCTGTAAACCTATGAACGATTTACTTTATGGATTCGTAAATCTGAGTGACAATAACTTCAAACAATAAAATGCTCGATAAAATCATATCACAAACCAACATTTGCCGTTTTCTCCGCCGGTTTACCCCATCACTTCTTGAATAAATGAGTCCTTTTGGGATCTTCATGTTACAGGAGAGTAATTGGAATTTTTCTGACAAAAATATTGCATCGTTAGGATTTTTACTTTAAACTGATTGTCTAAGGTCTCTCTGACATACACTATTAGCACATCAGTTGTAAGGTATTCCGATTCTTTAGTATTATTTTCAATTGACTTTAGTTCGTGGTAATTTCAGCTCTTAAGGTGATGAAAAATTAGAAACTTATCCAAAATATCACCATGCTTAGGATTGATCAAGTTGTTACTTCAAAACCAGTGACTGGTGTTTACTCCAATGGTAGCCATTTAATGGAGGATCCCAGAGATTAAGTGATTTCATGCTAGTTTATGCACTACTATGCTAAATATTCAGGAAAGGAATGAACAAAGCCTTGTTTCATATTATTACAATTCCAATAGTTTGTGGCATCAGATTATCTGGTAGATCACCTGCCCTTGAATCATGGCTGATGATTGACTGATAATTGATTTGACGGTATGTCCAAAAAGGTTCATCCGAAAAGTACAAAAATGACAGCAACGTTTTGAAATGTAAGCCTTTTTCGTCCTTTGATAACTAGGCGGCATAGTCTGTTGGTGTGACCTGCCTTTATTACTAGCTGCAAGTGTCCTTGCAGCCTGCATCTCAAAAATTCACGCAGGAAGTCCTTAAGGTCAGAAGACCACACTCGCATGGTCTACAGTCGTTGTGATTTATCGACTTAGCTAACCACTAGCATTAAACCCTTTGTGAGCAGGAGTATGCAAACATAATCATTGCGCAGATTATTTCCAGGATAAAATAGCTTGCATCCTCTTCGGTGACTCTCAAATGCCTTCGGTGCTTTCATTCCTGGAGTTCATGTGTTTGTGTTTTTATGTAAATGATTCGATGATCATCATGGGGGCTTCGGTTTTCCCCAAGGAAGGCACAAGAGATAGCTTTCCAAGGTAAGGAAAAACATTGACTGACTCAGAGGTACAGTCTTCTGGCCTACTGCTCAGGAAAATGGTCGATTTCTTCTCAGTGTAGTACTCTAAAGGGTACAATGGCGACGTAAATGTTCGGAACCCAGGGTTTTCCGTTTTTCGGAGTATTAACTTGAGCTTGAAAAAATGTGCTTGGTATTTTACTTCAGAGGTCACTTCTGTAAAGTGCCTTGAAACCGAATCGGACTTTGGGAGCCTCTCACGCTGAATTTTAATGACAGCGGTGAATCTTATTTATCAGCAACAAATCTGGGTAGGATATATGCCAATTAATTTCCCAGGTAATTAGCTGTGTCAAGGCAGTGAATACGCCACAATCACCTTATCTGATGAGCTGGCAGAAGGCTATTGCAGCCCTGAATAACAAGTGACCTGCTAGTTAAAAATTTCCTTACGAAATGAAGCATTCTAGCCTTATCGTAGGGTTCGTATCTCGAAATTCTAATCAACGAAGTTATGGAGTGGTTTGCTTGGTGCCCATTTTCGTCTGCTTACAAAGTTAAGATTACACCAACTACGGAGCCAGATAAGCTAGTTCTAGAGTTGTTTTGGTATATGTAAATACTATGTTTAGAAAAGGCACACATACAAGTCACCTGCGCAAATACCGAACCTGGCGCAAGATCCTTGAAAAGGGACAAACCAACAGATGCCAAAGTTCATGTACTAATTAATTTCTAGTTATGAAGGAATGATGTTAGGAGAAACGTGAGCGTGCAAGGAGACTGGTTTTCCACTACCACTTCCGCCAGTCAGGTCGATACTCGAATGACTTAAACTAACCAAAGTCGTCGCTGGTTAGTCGTCGGCAAACCACGACTAGCCTCACGGATTTATAACCTAGATATACTCAGGAGAATAGAATTCGCAATACTTTTTTGGATTTTTACAGGATTTTAAGTACGCAATTAATGCTTATTCAAGACTTGCGAGCGAGAAACCTAACACCGAGTCATAGCTGAGCAAAACATGGCCTAACGCCAAGAAAAATCCTTTGAAATTCACCGACAGATAAAGCGATTTTTAGTGGGCATGCTCAATAAAGCGGACTTTGGTCAAGTGTTCAACGCACATTCACCATGGACGCGAACGCGAACGCGCACGCGCGATCACGCCACTCCACCGCTTCGATTAGTCGTACACGCTGTAACAAAATGCCGTAAGGTGGTGGAAAGATGCCGGCTTTAGGTAACCAATAAAACCATACGCTATGATGCACGCACAATTTTAGCCGTGTTAATACGCGGGCTTGGCAGCACGCGAGCTTTTGCCTTGACTATGATTGGGTCAGGGCAGACATGTACCAACTACCAATAAAAACGAAGGTAGCAGACAACATACGTGGGAATTGCAGTTTCCGTCAGGCCGCGAAATTGGCCAGCCTTTTTCGGTGATCGTTTGTTGAGAGGATTTGCCCTTCCCGCTCCAACGTCCGCACACGCGCATACACCAAATGTCGAAAAAATCTGTTGACGTGCCTGAAGGGCTGCGCGAGCTACTTCAGGCTTTCACAGTTGCTGTCCTCCGTGCTAAGCCGGCAAATTTAATTGATTTTGCCGTGGAGTATTTTGAAATGAAAAAGAATGAACAGAGAGAAAACAATGATGTAGAGAGCGATGAGGAAGTTATTGCTCCCCCAATCGGGTCGAGGCGCCGACAGGGAGTCGCGGCAGAGAGCTATGACCCTGAAAAGGAAGACAAATTTGAGAAAGTGGTCCACGAAAAGACTGAGGAACAGCGACAACGGCTTACTAATGCTACCAAAGGGATTCTTCTATTCCGGTGTCTCGACGAGGACCAAATGCGTGACGTCATCGACGCCATGTTCGAAAGAAAAGTGGAGGCTGGCGAAAGGGTCATTACTTTTGGTGAAGATGGAGACAATTTTTATGTAATCGAGGAGGGGAATTACGATATTATTGTGAAGGTTAAGGGTGTTGAGAAAAAAGTCGGGCAATATAATGGTAGCGGTTCTTTTGGCGAACTTGCCCTTATGTACAATACGCCGCGGGCAGCTACAATTCAAGCGACCACACCCGGAATTGTGTGGGTCATGACCCGGGATGTGTTTATGAAAATTGTTTTGAAAAGTGCTTTCAACAAAAGAAAAATGTATGAGGATTTACTCAATCAGGTTCCCATCCTTAAGAGCCTCAGTGTCTATGAACGGACTAGCATCGCTGACGCTCTGCATACACAAATTTTCGAGGAGGGTGCTAAAATTATTAGCCAAGGCGAAGAGGGCGAGGAAATGTATTTTGTTGAGGATGGTGAGGTTCGAATCACCATGAAGAAGTCCGGATGTGATGAAGAGACAGAACTTACGCGCATCAAGAAAGGTGGCTATTTTGGTGAACTTGCTCTCCTGACAAAGTCCCCGCGTGTTGCTTCTGCCTATGCAGCTACTCGAACTAAACTTGCCGTTCTTGATGTAGGCAGTTTTGAACGCCTTCTCGGACCTTGCCTTGAAATTCTTCAACGCAACATAGACAACTATGAAAACCAACTGAAGGCGGTTTTCGGCAGTTTGGATAATGTACCCGAGTTACGCCATTAAGGAGCTCTTTGGGATCCCCCATGTGGTAATTCTTGTTATCTCTCTTGCTCCCTCCTTTTTGGTCTTAGCTGCTTCCATGTTGTATTTATACACGTAATACCCACTTACGAACATCGTCACTTGTTGGTACAGGATCATAGTTGTGCCTGTCTTGAGTGAAACCTGATGCAATTTGCATTTTTTCCGGGTGCGTTCGCGCGTCCTGATAAGTGTAGAGTTCTCTTTCCTGGTAGAGGGCATCCTCCCCCTTTCGAGTCGCATTTCCACAAAACTGATTCGATTCTTCCCTTACTTAAACATCACCATTGCGTCCTCTGCACTATAACTTCAGCAGGGAGAGCGGTATTCATTCAAACTGCTTTCTCTTCTGTGTCATATAACTGTCCATCCGAAGAAAAATGCCAACCTTATCAGCCCTTTTCATGACTGTGTAGGATTGCCGCATGAATCTAAGTAAGAGGCGTGTTTTCTCAGTTTCTGCCTGTATTTAGCCAAAAATGAAGGTACCCAACATGCTCTCCATGCTCTCTCTCGCCTCCTCACTGTCCTTGTTGTTTTACTGATTGTGCATTGAAATTTACAGATATTTTTTTCCGTCCTTCACGCCTGACAGACAGTGATTTCCCAATCTTCATTTTTGCTCTTTGTGCGGTTGTCATTTATGCATTGACTCTTATACTACTTCATGCATAAAAATTAACTCCACAGTTGTTCATATCGTACGTTTGTTTGTAATGCAACCCACGATATGCCAGTGGAATGTTCTATTTATTGTCTAATACTGTAAAGCGGGATTTTTTTGTAAATAGCACCCAAATGTGCTTTTCTAGTGATGTTTGTTCCAGATTGAAGGTAAAGTCAATGAATTAAGCAAGGCGTGCACAGTGTCAGTTTATGCCTCTCAACTGCATTAACTAAGCTCACAGCTAAAAGCACAGATCGATAATTTAGACAAATAGTCTGACTAGGAAGTTATCTTCGCAATGCCTTATCCGCCCTAATTTAGCTTAAGAATAGGTACGCGTCAAAATCGATGCTCCCTTAGACCTCGTCTTTGTGGGCACAGGGTTATTTGGTGCGGCGTTACACAGTGCGGCGTCGTACTGGCAAGTTTTCAATTCAGTGCCAGCGCGCCGTGTGTATGTGCAAAAGGATGTGACGCTAATTCAATGACGCATCTGAGAAAGAAGCGTTACCGTCTGCAAAGCTCACATGTGGAGGTCATTAGCGTCAGAATTACCTGAATCAATTAATTGTCTCCTGCTTCTTTCGGTTTTGAGTCGATTTGAATAATTGAGGGATACGGATTCAACTAGAATCAAGTCATAGGTATCATGTCAATTGCCTACTAAAATCCCGTGGTTTGGTGCTCTCATTTGAGCCCACACGCGTCTCGGGTTATGTCTCACCAATTGTAACATTAATGAGAATGCCATACCTTAATGTGGAAGACTTCCGTTGTCTCTACTTTTTCTGTATTCCAGACCGCCTATTTCATTGGACTCAATGTATTTGTTTAATATATTGAGGTCAACTTTTTTCGGTGTCGTCTTAATTATTTACACATCTATTCATTAATCAAAATCATGACTTGTGACTGAGGAATCCAGTTGGGGTTGCATGTTGCAATATTTTATTTAAAGTCAATTGATTTCAAAACTAAAACCTGTTAGCTTATTTCCGAGATGCGGAATGTCTTGCCATTCTCTAATTTCTACCATGAATGTGTCAAAAAGATGAAAGCTAGGCCAATGGCATCTTTTTAATCTGAATATAAACGCCTTATTTTTAAGTTCCAGTATGACTAGCACAGGAACATCTTGGTTAAGGTTAAAAACGCGCGTTGACAACAATTGTTCAACAATAATTGATTTTGCCGATTAAATTACTTCAACTTCGTCAGAATACTGATGAAATCATTATGTCACGACTCCTATTAAAGGCATTTGTAAGTGTAGCTTCGCTCCCCTAAGGGGGGCAGGGTAAACAAGCGCCGTATTGAAGCAAAGTGCAACCCTGCATCATTTATCCAATCAACTTGGGCTAAAAGGTCTAGCACAAAAATTCTGTGGAAATAGTCGGTCCTGCATGTTCTCATTGTGTGAAAAAGCCAGCACGACAGCGGCCCGTCATAGCCAGGCATGCGTCTTCCGCATTAAATGCGCAGATTTTTCTATATAAACGAATTGAGCTTGATTATTAATAATAGTTCTTTGGGTCAAACTCCGCGGTGGCAATTCACTGAACCAAAAACTGACTGTTCTGTGGACTATATTCATGTCATGTTTGCGCAAATTTAGACGAACTAAGGCGTATTTGCACATAATGGAAGCACCGTCAGCGATGCTGTGGCCATAGGCGACCTAAAACCGTCTTGTGGCTACTTGAATTTGTGTAAACTGAATGGTTTAGTGACAAATAGCTTAAGTGAAGTGGATTTACTTACATTTGATCCCAGTATTCCCCGGTGATCGATTTTAATCAGTAATTACAAATGCAGAGCCGCGTTCTGCGTCTCAAACTAATGCGTAACTCAGATGAACTTGTACAACGTTTACTTTGCAGCAGCGGAGGTCTGCACGTGTTTGCAAGAAATCAAGTACGGGGAAAATTCGTAAAAAGAAAATGAAAACTCAAGGGCTGGCGGAATAAGGGCCGACCGAACTTAATTTCACTCACCCTGTACAACTAACTGTTCACGCATTTTTATGCATGAGTAGTGGGACTCAGGAACAAGATGCCATTATGCTGAATTTGGTACTTTCACGACCAAGTAGCGTAGCTAGACAGTGTCTAAGAATGGGAAATGCGCATCGTTATCGAATTCATCAATTGAAGTTTTTCGCATTGTGCATAATACGGGACATGAATAAAGCAAATTTTGTAAGCCGTAATGCGTTTACGAGGGTGTGGTCGTTTCGAGACTAATCAATTCTTTTGTAAATGAAGGGTCTGTGGTTGTCGTTCGACCAAATTCTCATTTTACGTTTTAATCGACAACTTTCCATTATTCCGGTAGCCAAAAGCATGTATACATGAAGAAATTCTGGCAAAAGTATACTTCAAAAATTAGGAGAGTCTGCGAGAGTTGGAAATACTGAGACGCCCCTACCAAGCTGGAAAACACTTTGCCTTGTCACCATAACAACGTGTGGTCTATCGTTGTAAAGGTGTGAAACAATACCCTCTTCCTGTTGTTCGCTGCCTTCCATCTGATTAATTGCGAGTCGTATTTCATAGAGCCACGTGCTGTGGTTCGACAACCTCGACTCGCAAGGCATGACGCCTTTTTCAATCTCAGTGCACAGGCAGAGGATTTGTGTGCAGTTCTAGTTAATTAAGTATCATTGAAACCATCCATGGACTTGCCAATATTACTGTGGTGACAGATCATTCAAGTTATGGCACATTTTGCTATAGAACCCTATCTTATTTTCTTAAATCATCATCGAATGAAACGATCTACCGCGTCGGTCCCACACACAGCATGATTGTTTTCACAGGTTTGTGTTACGTACTTCCAATAATGAAAGTAAAAGTCAAATGCGCTGAAAATAGACCGTGTCACCTGTGAATTTTAAAAACGGTAATACTAAGGTCAACTTTTCTGTTTGGAAAGCCAACATTCCCCAAGACAATTCACCGCTAATCAGGATTTTGCCATTGTTTACACGACTACCTCTTCAGTTGTTTGCCCCGTCCGCGCTCCCCCACTGAAGGCCTCATCTGTGTTAATCTCTCATGGTCCCTCGGGCCAAAGTCACGCACGACTGGTCAAGCTGTGCATTCTGACATGTCACTGGGCCGTTGGCTTACACGAGATCTTGTCTTTGTCCTGCACTGGATTTGCGCATTAGTACTCTGACCGCATGTTTTGGGCTACGGGCAAAATCGTAACACTTTCGGAATAAGGTTTTCCTCGAAGCATTGCTGACATAAGTTTTCAGATGAAAAATAATACCCAATTGGGTGGATTTGGCAAAGGCTCAACATCATTTGACGGTTTGTAACAAGTTATCGATGGTTTTCCCTAATCAGAGTGGTTTATTGCTACCGAAATATCTACTGGGTAAAATTGCTGCCGAAGTTAGTTCGTTCATTTTCATATGCATTTTTCTCTGAAATAAGGAATTATGATAGCTCGAAATGCAGCATCTGATAATGCGGCTAAAGGGCGCCTTCAAGTTGGCTTAGTAAAGGAGCCTGGAAAATCTCACGTAGTTTGTTTCCATAGCGTTACCGTTGCGTGAAATATAAAGTCTGCGCCAACCAGGTACCAAAATCCGGCTCATGCACGTGCCTACCACAGCACCCTGCAACGGCTAGGCCAAATGTAAACTACTCGTGGCGACGTGCTTGTTCCTGCTTCAGACTTGGCTAAGGACCAGGAGCAGGCCAGCACAATTGTGTCAAAGTAATTGGAGGAGTTAGAACTTGGTTTACTTGTGAATGTGGGTAGCAGTTTAGTATACACATACTTGCAAGTTTGAGTTTGCGCAAACTATAAAATGTGTCCACCAGACAGAACCAGCTAAAATTACGGATTACGTAGCAGCGTCGGGACTGTCGACATGTTATATTTTCAATTGACATTGTCTATCTTTAGTGGTACGATCCCTAAACATGGGTAAAGGCAGGTGTTTTTAAAGTTATAATTTAAAGTGGCGTTGAAGCACTTCTAAACAGGAGGTTGATTAAGTACAGTAATGTATCACAGTAATGCTCCTTTCTAAGCAGGTGTGAAACTACTCTCGCAACTCCTAGTGCTAATCTATTTATTTAAAATATATACATGCCTGTGGGGGAGTGATTTCAGCTACAGCCAACATGATTGCGCGGTTAATGTGAGTGCACACAGACCTGACCACAGGAGTTGAACATGGGAAAATAACGGTAATACAGATCTATAGTGACATGTTCTAACTCCCCATCAGTAAATGAAACAAGGATGTGGGGAGTGAGCATGAAGGAACCTTAAATTAAGGCTTAAGTTCTTCGAA